GTGCAGCAACGAAGACCCAACGTAGCCAATAATAATAAATTTATTAAAAAAAAAAACTATAGGTGATTTGCTTAAAAGACCATACATACACAAGATGTATTTGTGTGTATCTGCTCCATAGGCTTTTGGTAAAAATTCAACAGTCATTGAACATCTGCTATGCTCAAGTCATCTTGGGGTTTACAAAGCTGAATGAAACATGGTCCTTCACGTTTGAGCCTTGGTGTGTTATCTTATCTGGAAGCAGGTGCTTTTTAACAAGAGGGTAACAACCCTAGTTTCATATCAGAAGTACCTGCTGAGCTTGTTAAAAATACATCTGCCCAGGCCCCAGCTCTTAGCTTAGGGAAATTCTGATAATAGTCAGGGCCCATGATGCCTGCAGTTTTAACAACAAGCTCCCCACATGAATCTGATATACAAACCAGGATGAAGAAACACTGCTTTAAGCTAAGAAAGGACTAACTGCAGGAGTTTAGCCACAAGTAAACCAGGAGGATGCCCTTGAAATCTACAAAGTGAGCAGCTGGCTAAAGTCGTTTATGAGGGTGTTTCTATTTCCACTCCTTCAGAATGGATAGTTATAGTCTGAAGAGCATCCTGGAGAACAGGGTTGGGCCCAATCTTCTCTGTAAAGCACCTGGAACAAGAGTGCTGTAGAGGAATAAGATAACTACAGCCAAAGACCATCTTCAAAGTCTTCGCAAACACTCTGTTCTTATTTTTATCTCACACAAAATATGGTTATTTGTGTAAATTTTCTCCTTCACTAGATTGGAAAGTATTCCAGAGCAGGAGCTCTCTTCTTTCTTTCTCTAGTGAAGGAACACAGTAACCCACACATAATAGCTGTTTGACAGGTTTTTGTTTTGAATTCTTCTCATCCAAATCCTGGGGTCTGACCAGGATATATTTGCATATATCCATAGTGGATATTTATAAATATCCATAAAAGTATATATTTGTTTATAAAACATTTCAGTCGCACAAAAGAATACGTAACATACATACTGAAGAAAGAACAATAATAAAACAAGCACCTATGGACCCACATCCCAGTTTATGACATAGGACGTTGCCAATACCCTTGAGGTCTCCTGTTGAACTAGATCCTATCGAACAGCTCCTGAAATTTAAATCAGAATGCGTGCATTCAATCATTGACTGATTGGCTCATTCATTCATTTGCCAAATGTGCCTACTAAGTGTCAGAATCGATGTAGACGAGGTAGTTATTTCTTCTGTTGGAGTGGGAGAGGGGGTTCAAAAGTGACATAAACTCTTTCGACAAGTGTACAGATTGTCTTTGCTGCAAGCGGCCCTAACCCCGCCTGGCCCTCCAGAGCGGCGTGGTTTCTGAGTGTGGACACTTTGAGCAGAAACTACTGGTCCCGGCAGTCCACGGGGCGAATGGGCGGAGCCGGGGCGGGGGCGGGGGCCGGGCGAGAGGGGGCATTGTGTCGGGAGCGCGAGGCTGCATTTGTCTGCTCGAGGTGCTGGCAGAGCGAGCGTTGTGTTCGCCGGCGTTGAGCTGGAAGTGTCAGCGGCGGCCACGGTCCAGGCGGAAGACTGAGTCGGAGCAACCACGCGCCCACTGGCCGCTATTACTGGCAGGGGGCGGCGTGCCAGCGAAGCAACATGCAGATAGGCGCCCGGCGCCCTGACGACCCCTCCCGAGGAAAGGAGGCCGGGGCGGCGCTGGGGCGGCGGGGAGCATGAGGGAGGCCGGGGGGCGTCTTGGCTCGGAGCGTTGCTAGAGAGCGGCGCGCGCTGCACACTCGCCGGGGCGCAGCGGAGGGCGGGGAGCCGGGCAGGTCGCGCCAGCGCTGGAAGCCGGCCGCCGGGAGCTGTTCTGATTTCCGACGCGGACGCAAGGGGCCCGGAGAAGCCCCTGGCCCCGGTGTGCAGCCAACATGGGCAACGCCGGGAGCATGGATTCACAGCAAACCGATTTCAGGGCGCACAACGTGCCTTTGAAGCTGCCGATGCCCGAGCCAGGTGAACTGGAGGAGCGATTTGCCATCGTGCTGGTGAGTGCGCGGCGGCGGCCGGGAGCAGGGCCCCGGGGCTCCGACCAGGCGGTGCAGCTGACCCCAGCCCCCTCCCCTTCTCCCGGCGCCGGGAGCGAGCCTCCTGTCCCAAGGGGGAGGCTCCCACCTCGCCCATTGTGGCCTCCCCCGCCTCCTCTCGGCTCTCCTCCGAGCCCCCCGCGCTCGGCCTTCTCTGCGTCCCGGGATGGGGCCGGGGGCTCGGGGCTGGCTGCCTGGCGGGTCGGCCCCGAACCCATTGTCTGGCGGGAGAGGCACCTCGCAGCGCGTGTGCCCGGGAGGTGTGGCGTGGGCGTGAAGGGAAGGTGGCGCGGGCCGGGGAGGAGGGGGCGGCGAGCTGCTGAGGCTTTTTGTTTAAGAAAAAAAAATTCGCGCAAACCCCGAGTCCTCGAGGACGTCCAGCGGGCGCCCAGCCCGGGTCCTGAGGGGTGCGGGGCAGATGGGCGCATGTGGCCGGTCAGGGGTGCCGCGCCGCGCTGCGCTGTGCGGGAAGGCGAACTTGGAGGCGGACGTCGCGGCTTGGCCGAGGGGAGCTCCCCCAAAAGGGAAAGAGAAGGAAACCCTCGCGTGGCGGTGCGGCTCCCTCGTCCCTAAGAGAGGAGGGGGACATCAGGCGAGAGAGAAGCTTCGTCTTGGCGCGTTCCTTTTGGTCTTAAATGTTAAGACCACAAAAATGTGCAGTTTTGCGGGGACGGGTTGCGAGCTGACCTGACTCCAGGGGCGACCCCTCCCCTCCCTTCCGCCAGCACACCCAGCCAAGTCTCTGACTCCCTCCCGAAATCCGCTTCTCCTAGCTTTCCAGCTTCGCAAATCTGAGACATTGAAGACTCCCTTCTTTCTCCCTTTCCTGCTGGGACTAAGTTTCTGGGCCCTTCCCAGCCAGAGCCTGTCAGTGCTGTGAGCTTAGGAGGGTGTGGTGGCCTCCCCCCTCGACCCAGCCAGAGTCTGTACTGCAGTTGGTCCCCAGACTTTGATTTTTAGTGTCCTAGCCTCTTTCAAGGGGTGTTGGGAGGGAAACAGGCAAGATTGGAAGCGTTCCTAATACTTACACTTGCAAGTGTACACTTGTAGCCTCTTCCTAGCTAGTAATCTCTACATTCTACAGTGCTAGGCAGCAAGAGAAACTTGTGCTGAAGTCAGTCGAATTCTGCATCTGTGTGCGGGTTTTGGGCATGTAACCTGACAACTTTGGGAATCAACCAGAGTCTGAACACTGAGACGTTTAAATTGCCTTTCCTCAGGCCTTTAAAAGGGGCTGGTTTGATATGGGGAGTAATGTTGTGGATGGCAGATTCGCTTTGTGCTCTGTGGAAGAAGAGGCCACAAGCTTTTTCACACCACCTGGAAACTCTGGTGTGGCAGTCGGGAGATAGATGAGGCTGCCTGTCTTGCTTTGCATGGTCTGTGATCTCCCGCAGCTGCTCCCACTGTTGTGCAGAATGAGACACTCTGAAATGAAACAGCATAGGCTTAATTACTTCTCAAGGCAGCCTGGGTGCATACTTGACTTGTCTTTATAGGGACAAACCTTTTTAATTCAAAATCCTCTTCCTACCAGACAACATAGTTCTTACCTCGTAGCTCTGGGTTTTCTGTGTTTCCATCCATGCTGTGCTGGTGTGTGTGTGTCTGTGTGTGTGTACACTTGAAGTGGGAGGGCCAGTGACACAGGAAAACCAGATAATAACAATAATGCAATTAAATTCTCAACTGGGATAGCATGTTTTGCATGAGCTTTCAGTTACCCTGCTGATTAGTGACACATGTTACGAATTACTCTTTAGAAAAAAAAGTCCCATCCTTAACATGGTGGGTTTGTGTTACTATTAAGTCTAGAAGTCACAAATTCAGTACGTAGAAATTCATGATTGTATATCACAAGCTCTTTGGGGCAGTGGTTGGTCGTGTGGCTACTTTTACTCTACTGTGTCACACACAAGTACTGGATGCGGTTCCTTTCTTAATTGCTTAGAATATTTTAAGCCTTTCAAAACAAACAAACAACAAAACCAAAAAATACCAGGCTGACCTTTTTTGGATTAAAACAAAGCTTTTGGGAAAGTCTCAGCTTGGGGGCCCTCTTGTTAGGGATGCACTTGGACGATTGACTTGGTGTTTCATGTAACACTCCCCGGTCAGCTCCAGCTGCTCTTTGGAGTAAGCTGTAAGAGGAGTTAAAAGGAATCATCTTTATGGGCTGATAGAAGTACAGAGTTATGGTGACTTTTCTTGTGGTCAGTTTTTTTCTAAAGTTGTACATGAAAAGCTCTCAACTGTGCTTTTCTTCATGAATTGCTTAAGAAAAAGATCAAACCATTTAATTCTGAAGATCAAGCTTGAAGGACAGTATAGGTGGTAACGTTTAAAGTATATATATATATATATATATATATATATATAGATGTATATGGAGAAATTCTCTGCCCTGAGACAATGGGAATCCTGTGGGCATTATTGATACTAGTTTTATTTCCTATATGATAAAGATCATATAAGTGTTTGGGGAGGAAAACAGGATAGTAATACTGTACAAGAAAGTATACAAGCTCCTCATTGTAAATATGGCTTACATCAATAATTGGGCCATTTCAGGAATGGAAAACAATTCCTCTCACCTCACCAAGCTCTAGATTATATAAAGCATTGGGGAAGAGTAAATAAAAATTTAAATGACAGAAGTCCATCTATTTCTGGAAAATCTTGAGATGAAACTTACTCAGTGACTGTCCCCCACCACCCCCATCAGTCCACATGAGTTAAACCGTATGTATCTAAAAAATTAGTGGGCATGAATGGAAGGATGAGAGAGTAAAAGATTGCTGAATAAAGCCCGCGTGCAGCAATGAAGACCCAATGCAGCCCAAAATACATAAATAAAATAAAATTTAAAAAAAAGATCAGTGGAGGGGGATAGACTTTAAAAAAAGGTTTTTTTAAATAGGAAAGAAAATGAGATTTTTGAGTAGAGATTTGAGTTACTGAACTTCCTGTAATTAATGACTAGTAAAAATTGGATCCAAATCTTAGGAGTTTCATTCTCCTGAGGAGTCTTCTCCCTCCCTGAACTTGTCTTCAGCATCATTACAATAGTAACTATAAAACTTATATTTAAGGGAAAAGATTACTTACTCCTTGTATACACTTAACTATTTGCATCCTTGGACCTGCCTGTCAGGTAGAGCTATAAGGTAATATGCCTTTGTGTGTGTAGGATGTTTCTGTTACACTCTTCCATGGAAGTGTTTCATAAATTATAAATTCAATCATCTGCTTCAATCTTTGTTCCTTTAAGTTGTATATATTTTGTGTATTTTACAAGTAATATTTGTCCGTGTTTTTTGGGTCCCACACATTTATAATTATCTAAGTGGCTCTCCATTGTATTTGTTAAATATTGTCTAATTGTTGGGAATACACACACACACAAATACTCCCATGTCCTTTATTCTTGTTTTTTTTTTTTTTTTGCGGTACGCGGGCCTCTCACTGTTGTGGTCTCTCCCGTTGCGGAGCACGGGCTCTGGACGCGCAGGCTCAGCAGCCATGGGTCACGGGCCCAGCCGCTCCGCGGCATGTGGGATCCTCCCGGACCGGGGCACGAACCCACGTCCCCTGCATCGGCAGGCGGACTCTTTCCTGCGCCACCAGGAAAGCCCCATGTCCTTTATTCTTAAAGATGATGCTATGAAGGTGATTTTGGGTGTGGTGAACAATTGATGGTCTTTGTCCAAGAATAACTCTTTGGACGTTAGATGCTCTGTATATTCACTAATTTTTGGCTTGCAGTCACTGTTTACAATTTAAAATGTAAGCCCCTCAATCCCATTGTTGAGGAGCTGTCCTAAGGATCCTTTCTGAGTTTCAGAGGAAAAGTTAATTGTAAGCCCCCCATCCTGGCTGCCATATCTGTGTGATAGCAGATGTCAGGCTGCTCTGCAAACAGATGAAAAAAGATTAGGAAGTGATGGTTTAGGGTCAGTAGTATCTTATGTTTAACACCGGGAACTACTTTCATGTTTGATTAATTTGAGTCAGTTTCCTTTTCAGTTTTTTTTTCTTGCCCTGAGGTTGAATGTAGTCACTGTACTTAGGAAAAAGTGGGAACATTTTCTGAGCATCTACTATGAGTATGCCCTATGCTTCCATGTTCTCATTTAATCCTCACAGTAACTCCAGCTATGAGTAACATTGTAGATGAGGAAATAAAGATTCCCTAAGTTGCCTGAGGACATGCAGTTATTAGATAACCAGTCTAGGGTTTTTAGCCAGATTTGGAGATCTCCTCCCCTAACCCCCACCCACCCCCATTATATTATGCTTCCTTAGGCTTAGAACTGGAAAGAAAGACCGAAAGAAAAAAAAAAAGGTCTGGAACTAGCAATAAAGCTGTTAAAAAAAAAAATTCTAAATCTGGTAAGTGCAAGTTTCAAACTATAAAGCTGGCAGGAATTTCTTCGAAGCGACCCAAGTGCATTGTACTGTTTCTCTTTAGATGACATCCGTTTTGGCATCTTCACTGTGCTGTTCTATTTTCAGGCATGGAGTTAAATATTGATTTGGTCCAAAAGTGTACTCTTGAGTTTTTCCTTTCAAGGCAGTCTTGAACTACCTTGGGTGGGAAGTCCAGGTTTTCCACATCAGAGGGGAGAGACAACCCGTCCGTATAGTGCACAAGCTCCGAATGTAATTACTTGTGAAAAGGACGAGGAAGGTCAAGTTTTAACATTTAAATCTATTTCCCTCTGCAAGGTGTTGTTCCCTTTCAACCATTTCCAAGGAGAGCCTCTGCCATGAAGTCTGCTGAGCAGTTGGATGGGTAGGTGTGTAGTTAGGCCATCATCAGATATGCGCTGATTTGTTTTCTCACTTTTCTCCAGCTGAGAGGGAAGGGAGATGGAGAAGGGGGATGGATGGAGTGTTGAGCTTTGAGCTGTTACAGTCTCATCTAGGCAGTAACCCCTGAGTTGTTTTATTCTCCAGAG